ACTTTTCCCCTTTTTAAAAAAACTGAGAGACGATCTTGCAAAAAAAAAAAAAAACCCTGGAAATTTTTTTTCTAAGTTGCAACGAGAAAATTATCAGCCTTTTGAAATAGGCCAGACCAGGAAACCTGACTTCACAAGTTTGACTGGAGCTGTATTAATTGATGAAGGATGAGGTGGCTAAGATGCTGAGCTTGTCGATCAGAAAGGTCGGTGGTTCAAATCCCTAGCGCCGCTTAACGGAGTGAGCTCCCGTGACTCGTCCCAGCTTCTGCCAGCGTAGCACGTAAAAAAGTAGAAAAATTCGCACCACCTTTGGTGGGAAGGAAATAGCATTCTGTGCGCCTTCGGGCATTAAGTCATGCCGGCCACATGACCACGGAGACGTCTTCAGACAGCGCTGGCTCTTCAGCTTTGAAACAGAGATGAGCACCATCCCCTAGAGTCGGGAAATACTAGCACATATGTGTGAGGAGAACATTTACCTTTACCTTATATTAATTGATATATTTTGAAAGCCTGAATGGTGTTTTCCATTCCTTCCCTATTTTTCCCCAAATAGTAATGGAACCAGTCTAAGCTTTCTTCCTAACACTAACTGGACTTCAGTCATTGCAATATTTCTGCACACTTTCTCCAAGCTTTTTTTGTGTGTGTGTGTGAGAAGCTAATTTTTTTTGGCCATTTAGCATTTGTTTTTGAAAAACGAACTGGTGTAAACTCCGTAATTCTACTTTGCATCTTTTTTAATCCCGCGGCAATTCTCCCACGACAGGAAAATAGCAGAAGATCGCTTCTCATTGGCGTGGCCTTTCCAACCTTACTTGCTTTTTGATGTCTTAGACAGCCACGAAGAACGAGAGAACGAGTAAGTTGTCTTGTCTGTATTGATTAAATGCCTTGTCTGCATCTAGTAGGTGCAACAACTAAGCAAAGTTAACAATCACAGATGCAACACAAGGAAATAGTATCTGGAATGGAATAGAGCTGGGAGGGACCCTAGAGATCTTCTAGTCCAGCCCCCTGCTCAAATAGGTCGATACCATCTTTGGAAACTTCCCTTCATGCATAAGTAGTCCTTGACTCATAACCATTCGTACAGTGGCCGTTTGGAGGCACAACAGCCACTGAAAAAGATGGCTTGCAACCGGTTCTCGCCCTTGCCACCATCGCAAGCATCCTCAGGATCATGCGATCAAAATCGGGACTCTCGGCAACTGGCATGTACTTATGACAGTTGCAAAATCCCAGGTCACCTGACCGTCATGTCTGAGCTTCCCAGCTGGCTTCTGGCAAGCGGCGGCTTGGCTCAACATCTGTAGGATTTACTTAACAACAGCAGCGATTGGCCGAATAACTGTGGTGTGAAAATGTTACGAAATGGGTGCAATTTGTTTAAACACTGCTTTTGCCTAATGAGGGGAATTCTGGCCCCAAATTGTGATTTGTTTCTTCACATGGGAAGCCTCACAATTAAAACAAGACATACTATATGACTGTCAGCATTCCAAATAGCATCCAAAAGTAAATCAGAGTCCAAGGCAAAGTATTGCTCAAAGTTCCAATTNCCCCTCGCTGTTGGAGTCTGGTGGCAGCTCCAACGGCTCCTGCTGGGCCACAACAGAGAGGAATCTAGGCCGCTGATCCGTCCCTGATCCAAATTGAATCAAGCTTTGAATTATCCTGGTTAAGCTAGAACAGTGTGAATCTTTGCACAGCCAGTTCAGCCCCTGGATTCAGTCATTTGAGGAAGCCACTAGTGGTAGTCTTCGACTTACATATCCACATTAAGCAAGGCAGTTGTTAAGTGATTTTACAAAGCTTTTTTTGCCACTGTTATGAGGCGAATATGTAGTTAAGATTTACCACAGTTAAAAGGCGCGGATGTTAAGTGCATCTAAATCTGGTGCCTCACTTTATGGTTCAGCGTACAATGTAAACTCAGGAAATCGCATCCTGGACATAAATTGTTTCAACCCCTACCCTCAAAACGACGCTAGAGAGCACTGCACACCAAGACAATTAGACACACCACCAGTTTCTCCCCGAACGCCATCATTCTGCTAAACAAATAATTCCCTCAACACTCTCCAACTATTCACTAAGTCTGCACTACTATTAATCTTCTCATCGTTCCTATCACCCATCTCCTCCCACTTATGACTGCATGACTGTAACTCATCCCGGACTGACCCCCAGCACCAAAATGGATTCTTTAACTTTCTAGGCTCGTGGGCGATCTCAGGAATTGAAAGCAAGCATCATCTTGGAATCCCATATCATTTGCTGCACCCTGAGCACCAGCGGAGGGGTGCTGCTGAAATCGGCTTTCCGGAGGCTGGGCGGGGACCCTGTCAGCTGCGTGATTGTGGACGAGGTAACACACCCGGCGGTGTGGCCACTGCACCTTGAAAAAATTAGCTACCTCCCGTGTACAGGCAATCCTCATCTTGCAACCAAGCCCTTTCCATTGCCGAGCAAGAAGGTTGCTAAAACAATTTGGACCCACATTGCCACATCTGCCCTGTTTATTAGGCGTATCGCTGCAGGTGTTAAACCCAGTCGTTGTGTAACTGCCTTCCCCGTTGATGTGGCTCATCAGAAGGTTTCAAAAGGTCTGATTGTAACTTTGAACAGTCGCTAAGCGGCCATCCATAAACCGAAAACCACCTGTGTTTCTGTGTTGTGCTTGTTCCTCATCTCCTCCTTGCAGTTTCTATTTTTCCTACTCTGGTACTTTGTTTGTTTATTTGTTTGTTAAAAGGCGGGGCAGACGTGTGAAATCGAAACCCTCATCCCTCTGATTCATGGCTGTAAGAAGCTGGTTCTGGTCGGCGACCCCAAACAGCTGCCTCCCACAATCAAGTCCCTGGTACGTAGTTGCCCCTTTAAGACACCTCCAGATGTGCAAGAAAGACGAACATCTTGCCTCCAGAAGTTGTAAATGTGCTCCAACACTGTGTTCTGAATGAGGCTTCCTGATAGCAGGAAGCAAACTCCTGGTCCTGACAAAAATAACTTTTATTAATTGACTGTGAATTCTGCTCATTCACCTCCAGCAAAGTCTTCCGAGGGAGGATTTAAAGTCACAGACCTTCTCTGGCTTGGAGAACTGACAGGCTGATATCCGCAAAATCTGGCAAGGAGTCTCGGAGAGTCACAAACCAATGAAGTGAACTAATGGCCTCCTGCAACCTCCACTCTAAGAGCCAAGGTGGCGCAGTGGTTAAATGCAGCACTGCAGGCTACTGCTAGATC